GAGTGATTCTCAACCTTCGCAGTCGGTTGGAAAATGCAGATCGAGTTTGTACGAGTTAACAAGCCGTTCTTAATTCCGAACTTCGTCCAGTAATTGCCGGCTATTTCGTGTATAATGAAGAATCCACCTCATCGTTTGGTACGCTGTTTCGGTATCCCAAACATTTGCTACGTTTATCGCGAGAGACAAGGTATATACCGAAGATGAGGTGCGATGTAACTTTCAAAGGGAATAAGGGAATAGTATATTCAGAATGGAGCCACTTTTGTTGCATTATGTAATACGACTATGAAGACGAGGCTGAGAAGAGCGCGGTGAATACATAATTAAATACTGTAATCTTCGAACTTACCCGTTACGAACTTGTTAACAAGTCGGCATTAAGGTGTTATTTACGATATCCAGTATTACGCGAAGCTAATCGTGACGAGAATAGTTCACTCATTGTTCTTGACTGTCAAACTTTGCTTTCCCATGATGAAGTTTCTTGTTTGAAAGAGCTGTGTTGTTCCTTTATGTTGAGAAGGCATTTGAAAGTTAATGTATCACGTGTTCTCGTGGAGATAGATCGAGAGTCGTTCGTTTATTCGATTAATTTAAAAACGGTGCGACTAAATATGAATTCACCATAGTAAATAAGTTCACGATTCTCTTGTCGCAGAATCTCGATCTACGCGACAAGAGCATCAATCGGTATCCTCGTCAAAGGTATCGGTGTCAAGAAATGATACCACTCGACACCTCAGCAGCTCGTCGTTAAGTATTCTGGTACCGACTTCCTTGAATGTCATCGATACATATGACATCGCTGCTATTACTACCAACACTATCCACTGCACTTTGCTTGTCCCCTATCCCACACCATTTCCATCCCTTTGAACTTGGATGCTTTGATCAACAGCTGCACAAGTTTCGGCGAAGCCTTGTGGAAGTTCTGTTATTTGATCACCGATTGTCGACCGAGATGCCAGCGTTTTGTGATAGACGTCCTCGCGCGATAATGCCAATTCATTCGGTTTGATATACGGTCCAAAGATTATCCCGCCGGGAATCCGAAGAAACTACTCCGATATCGTGGTCCACGGACGCAGCGCTAATCCCCGCGACTGAATTATGACGGCTCATACTACCGTAAACGGATTCTGCGGCCGTTAATCGATTTATCAGGGCCAGCAAGGAAAAACAGCCTTGTCGTTGGGGATGAATAAAGGTTTTTCAGCGTAGCCTGAGGGTAAATAAAACAGGCATTCAAACCTGAAGACGATTAAATTAGAGAAATGTCAGAAATATACATTTAAAGAGTAAACGCGTAGATAGCATCGTCCCATCGTCAGTTTACCATTGTTTAGGAGAGGATCCGTCAACCAAGATTCGCGATAAGACGAGCCAGCTTGTTTTCGTGGATGAGCCAGGCACAAACGACTCGGTAATTAATCCCTTCGATCCGAAGTTCTTCCGGGGTTAATTTATACAGAGGACGTATTCGTGTACTTTATTCATTAGCGGTTGAAATTTGAATACTGGTCTGATTATATCGGGAACCACTTGGAAACACGATTCCTTCGACGAGGGATGAGAACGAGTGGAATCATTTTTCAGCGACCGAAACCGTACTGTAATTTCAACGTGTTGTAGTGGTATGAATTCGTGGTAATGCAATGCGATGAAAATCTAGGAGTCGGTAGGAGTGTATTCGACAAATAATATCGAAAATGTTAAAAAAGTGCTCCTGGATGCTGGATCACACAAATAGAAAAATCGAACGAGCAATCGTAAGAACACATTTTATTTACACTATACGTAGAGTGCGTACATAATTCAAGTGAATTTAAGAAAAATTCTTCGGCAATATTTGGGTTAAAGAAAACACCCTGTATACCAAGTCCTCACTTACCATCGCTAACTGTTAAAAAGAAAATTTTAATCAATGTTTTGACTGTAATTGTTCGTGTGTTTGGTGACAGGACGAGAAATTTTATGTGATAGCGTTCAGGTTGATCGTGTCGTGCATTTAGGAAGCGTCAGCCTAATTTTAAATAGCAAATTCGTGGTAGTTAGTTGTCTGTGGTTTGTGTCGGGAAGTTCATGTGGCTGGATTACCTGCGACTGTTTATGCAGCTTGTGTATCGAACTGGTCATGGGTGAGTGTCGACCTGGTTCATGATTCGTGTAGAAATTCATTTATAAGAGTAATTTTAATTCACATATAAGAGCATGGATTTTCCTAAAATAGTGCATGGAAAATCTTTCTAATATCTGGAATAGCATCATGCCAACTAGGAATCTCTTCTAGAATCTATCTTGTCCCTTATTTATTTAATCATAATGATATTTGGAATATTGCTAAATTGTTCAAACTATGGCCTGGTTAGGGGAATCCTATCCCACCATCTCTCCAAATGGAAATAAATGATGTCTCGTTGGCGATGTAGCGAAGAAAGCTTCAAAGGAGTTCCCGTTTAATATTTGAGAGGGATCCGTTCGCGTCATCGGGTCCCAATTTCGGTCAGCGTTTCGCATTCCCTAATCACGTTTGTCGGGCCGCGGAACAGGAGCAGTTTCACGGAAACCGTACCGTTTTGCGGTATTATGCCGCGAGCGTGCAGCTAGTAACGCAACGTCGCACGATAACGCAATTAGATCCCGCCTGGTGCGTTCGTCATTGCGAACAATTCGCAATTTTCTCGCTGTCGGAGTGGCAATCGAGTTATACAACGCGGTTCTCCATATAATTCGATAGGAATTCAGGGACGCGAAACACTCCTGGTGACCACCGCCAGGTTACTCATAATCACGGCATCAACGAGCTTTGTGTGAAATTACCTGAGTCCCTGCATTCGCTAACTAGCCAGGATTTCATTTTATACTTATAATGCGATCCACGGACGGCAGGAATTTATTGCAATTTGATCTTACAGGTGGTCATCGTACGTTCTTGCGTGGAATATATTACGCATAACCGCGCGTTTGGTAATTGGCGAATATTAAATTCCAAAATTAATTCTCGAAAACGTTGATAATGCGAAATATTTGGCAGTCGAAGGAAACGTACTTTTTTTTTCTTTTTAATCGAGCGCCAGCTATACGAACAATTGTTGGGGAAGCAAATAGTTTCAACAATTTAGTTCTCCCTCGCCCCCGCCGTTTCACGATACACCTCGTCTACTATTGTTTTCGCGAACGAACCAGACAATTCACCAGGCACCGCTTTACTGTCCACGGTACCGCCATCTTCCAGCTCTTTAAACGCGATAATTTCACTCCTGATCGCGAGCAAACCAGTCAAAATGGCGTTGAGTTTCTGCAATTCACAGCGAATCCTTGCTGTTCGCCCCGATAGCGTAGTATAGAGCGATTTGCTTTAATAGTACCGGGACATAAAAGCCAGCTATTGCCACGAATATACCTGGCTACAGTCGCTTCTATTATGTCAGCGTCGAGCTCCACCGACGACGTCTGAATAGAATCGTGTCGAATAATAATAATAATAATAGCAATAATAATAATAATAATAATAATAATAATAATAGTGATGATAATAAAGCGCGTTGATATCCGAACGTTTTTCGTTCGCCTGGCGTTTCATAGGCTCGTAAAACTGCACAGGACTATCGGCTCGCTGATGCTCCCGGTATTCGAAATAAAATCGGCTTCATGAAAATTCATGTCGTCAGCGATTCAGTCAGGATACGAGATTTGACGATCCATTTGCGCACATTGTCGTACCTGCTCGCAATAAAACGAGCAATTCTCGCATCCAGCGAAACTGTTTTCATGAACAACAAATATTTTGAAACCGAACGTGACGCGTGCACGCTTTTGTTGCAAACTTTTCCGAATCCCTCGAATTGTTTCTTTAAATAGAAGACTGGAGAAGAATCGAGTGATCAAGTGAATTCCGTACTCGCAGCCGTTATTATTTAGTCGAAGCACAGTGTTTCGCGGGAACAGCGAGAAATGATAAATGGCACCACGAGATTGGAAAAAGGACGTTAATTTACAATCCCTAACCCGAATTTACAACTCGAGAGAAGAAGTGGAAAGATTGCTCCCTTTTGATCTCCATAATTTATTTTTCTCCTTGACCTCTGCCGAAGTGGAGATATCGACCAGACGGAGCGGTTTCGTTCTTCGATTCGCAAACCGGCCCTTAAATCTTTATTCACTTACACCCGCGGCAAATTATCCGCTCGACGATTCATTATTCAGCGTCCTCCCCCCTTAAGACCACTTTTGTGCCGACGGAATTTCACGGTCATTAATCAGATGTAATCGGATAGCGGGGGTTGGAAAGTAACCGTAGAGCCAGGAAGCTCAGTTTTGTATCAATTACACGATTAATCATCGTTGGGGTCATAATTAACGAGGTCCCACGCACGGTGAGCAACCGTAGTTGATTTCACGCGTCCGCGGTTCGCACACTTCTGGGAACAATTTCCAGGAGTTACAACTGCTGGAGGCGTTGGAATACCTGAGAGAGATATATAGGGAGCGAAAGAGAGGGAAAGTTTCATTACACGAGAATCTCCGTAGCTGCGATCACCGTTCGATCGCCTTTTAACGTGTTCCGGAGAATCGAGCGGAGACGTTGCGAGCAATTCAGCTGGAAACGCTTGGGACGTGTTCCAGCGTGACGTGACATTCCCTCTCAGGTGATTCGAATAGAAGTTCTCCTTGATCTGTCGCCTTTTACTTTCTAACGCGATGGATTAGGAACCAGATGATAAGGATTCTGGAAAAGTTCGTCGAGGAAATTTCATACTCGCTTCTCTTATGATTTTCTTTTCTCTTCTGTTTCTCTTATTTTGTATTCTTTATATCATCTTAAAGCCTCCTCTTTCCGCTAGAGTGGAGTATCAGAGAGAGATCCTACAGATTTATGCGATTTTACGCGTATAGCTCGTCCCACGCATCCGATGGAACAACTCTATGGGATGTGAAATTGGTTACATGCACGTTACAAGGCCATTACGTCGAGTCTATTGAATTTTTATACGCACCTGAACTTCTAAGGCATGGTAAGCTAATATGAGGCCAAGCAGTATCACAGTAGACACAGAGATCAGGGTTTTCAATGCTGTCGAGTATAACGAGGCCTGCAACATAAAACATCGTCCTCGTAAATCTCGGTTCCTGGGCTGTATCGATTTTATTCTATGAGCACTTAAATTATATTGTTTCTGTTAAACAAACAGCAATATGGTGCATATGTCCGATCGAATGATTTACAGAGGAGTACATCTTCATTATTTTTCCACAGATTAAATGATCCAGTATGTAGGCGTCAAAGTAAATAAAGCTTAGCTTGTTAAAACATTCTCGTGTATCATATTTCTTGTTCGATGTTTAACGATCTGAAAAAGTATGATAAAAAAATTCATACACGACTCCTAAATAGTTGGAATTTTCCTGTACGCGATGCTTCGGAATTGCTATGCGTAATTAGCGTGCGATTTTATCGGAAATCGGTTCAAGGCATCCAAAAAATTGAAATAAAATTTCGTAAAAATTCATATCGTCGAGTACAGGAGATCGTGGAAAAGAGTGCTTTAGAATCATTCGTTTCGAGTGTTGCAATATTCGCAACGAACGTCCTCGTTCTGCTCTGTCTATATTACAAATGGGTTCAGTCGAATAACTGTTTCGATACATGTGTCAATGTGGTCCAAAAAAGATTTCGGAACAAATTGTATATTGCGTATTTCCAGATGTTTCGACCGCCATTTTTCATTCCAAGTTAGGCGAAAACCAATGTCCTAAACGTGACTCAGGGAACGTGTCTGGCCATTAGTCGCTGTTTCTACTTAGCGCGGAGTTTGTAAATCTTCACGGTCGCATGGCGCCGTCGGTTTCATTTTCGTCCAACTAGTTACAAAACATATAGTGAAACTGGTGGGAAATTCGTAGTAACATACCACGGTCAATGTTTACATAAACGAACGCAAGTAGAATTAGCGATTAATGGACAGACGAAATTTAATGTTCTCAAAACAGAGTTAACCGTGGGACAATTTCATCGTATATTTTAAACATCGAATGAACATGTCATTTTCTCATGGAAAATCATCGCTCATTAGCTCGTAAAACCAGCATCATGATATTTTGTGTAATACATTTACCCGTTGACTCTCATTACGAATGGATGATGTTTCTGGCAACAAAGAAAGTCGCTCAGTACCGTTTCAAATCGAATAAATCGATTAATCTTTCGCTGCGGTAACAAACAGATGCGTTTCGCTTATTTTCCAACGCGTTCATAACTGGTAAACGAGAGATGCTCGAGAGGGATAGGAGCAATTAAAATTTCATGAAACCGAGTATCTCTTTCACCGAGCGGTTGAAAATGTCTCGCTCCTGAACGCGCCTGGTAATGAACACCCAAGGACGCGGAAGTCCTAAAGGGTGAAACGACGCGGACTGTTAGGTCCCCAACGAAGAACCCTCGAATCACTCGAAGCACTTCGCGCCGAGTATTCTCTCTGTAATTAAATCGAGAACTTCAAGTTGAGGAAAGACTGGTGCCGCGTGAGTGGTCGACGAAAGAAATGATAAAACGAGGGGAAAGGTTCGTCGCGGTGCTCGGCCGATCATAACTGTTACTTTAAGTGGACCTTAAGCCTCTACCTTTTCTCTTTTTCTCGCCCGTCATCCGAATGTCCTTTGACATAATGGTAGCTCTTTCGACGCGAATGAGATCCGTGGAGCTTTCGCGGCTCGAGTTTTTGCAATTAATAGTGTTGAGAGATTCGGGTCTTAAACGGCGTTTGGAAGATCGATGGTTCTCAGGACTTTATGGTAAATACAGCTTTCCAGAGAAATTAAAAAAAAAAAAACTACGAGTGGAATAAAAGCGATAATGGGATGCAAGAAAAGATTTCTACAGTGAAATATAAGAGTAGATACAAGATCGTCGTTACAACTGAGCGGTAACGTGTTCTGTAATTAGGGTTGACCGAGTATCCGAGTAATTAGGGTTGACCGAGAAGGTTTTCACAAGAATAATAATAATAATTTGGATGAAATCGGTGCGCAAGCGGAGGCTGCATCGGGTCAGATTTTGGTTTCGCAGCGGCGAATCTGTGGCTTCCGTAATAGTAGGCAGTCAGTTAATTAGTTAGTTACACGTAAGAGGAATATAAATTAGCCGCAGAACGACGCGAAGCACGCGCTAGTAACGCTTGATTCTGGCCTCGGCGTTTAATTATGGGGAAACGTCTCGTTGTCGCATGTACGAATATTTGTGCGTGCGGAATAATTGGATGGAAAATAAATAGAGCAACGCGAAACATGAGTCTCGTGTTTCCATGAGTCTTTGTATCCACTTTCCGTTAGAAAAAACTTCCATTATGGAAAAATGCTGGAAAAGATGTTTTCGTACTTGAGGTGCTACGAAACTAGCGTCCATTATATTATTCCTTTAGCAACGTTGTTTCGCGCCTGTCTGATCACATTCCTGAATTACGACGGTAGGAAAAAGTAGGTAATCGTATAAAGACTCGTCCCAAACCTATCACACTTACCTCACTTTCGTTACAGTTTACTTCCCCTGGCCAACGAGCCAGAACGATTTCCCGCAAACGCACCACCTTGGCGATCCAATAACAGATTATCGCCTCCTCAAGGTGAGCAGTCTCTCGCTTCGTATTTGAAGCGATTTCGAGCGACGACCTCGCCCATCTAATCGAAAGATAAGGTACGAGCGTACACAGAGCTTATTCCTCCTTTCTTCTTCATTTTTGTCAAGATTTTTCTACCATCGTAGAAAAGAATCGAAATCGAAGCTAAAAGTCGTCACGTTATAAATTCATTAAGCTCTTCCTCAAATTTTACCGATAAACATGGAACGTTTATAAACACGAGCTACTGAAACTACCCGCCGATCTCGGTATATCGAGATCGAGGATCGTGTTCGTCGTTTTTCAGCCTGTATCTTCCCACACGAGTGACGCATGAAATACGCGCTCGATCGGTCGCGATTCAATTTTTCAGGGAATTGCTTCGCCCGATTCGAGAAACGATCATTGGCCGATGTTCCAGGTGTTCCCCCGCGTTTGAAATCCCCGAGTCTGGAGATCCACCCCTTCCTAAATCGACGGGGAAAATACACCGTAGCGCGTACAACGACGCGGAAAACTCGGCCGTCGAGACGGAACCGCAATTTTGGACGCTTTCATCCCGTTCCTCGATAACGCCGTAGGACTTAATCCGAAACGAACGCGTGGCTGGATCCAGCAACGGTTGCACTTTTCTTGAGTGGACTCGCGATTTTCGTGAAAGAGGATTTATCGATTGCAAATGAAATGGAATCCGTAGGGGGTGCGGGGGCGGCGAGTTTTTGTTGTTCGATAATTTGTTTCGCTCGACGCGCCATTGTGGGGGGATCTACTTTCTGCGGGGTTGGCGCAATTTAGCTTGACATTGTTAGTTGGAAATCCGAGATCCGTCTTCGCGAGGGGCGAGGGGAACTGGATAAACTTCAACGATTAAGAGGATGAGACGATTAATTTTAATTAGACCGTGGATGTTCACGCTAATGCGGGGTGCACGAGTGTTTTGGATTAATGGTTGTTCTAAAACGGTTGCGCGGGGGAAAATATAACGTTAAACATATGAGCCGTTCGCTGCACAAATCGGTTGACTGCACTTTTTGAAAAATCTTAAATTTAAATGTCAGAGTTCTCGCGGTATAGGCATAACTTTTTATATTTATAATAACTACAGCGAAAATAAAAGAAGTATATAACACAATTTTTTAATCACTTCAAGAAACAGCTCGTGATCTCAAAAGTAAACGAGTGAAAGCTCGACTGAGATAAGCAGGGCGGGTTCGAAGCAGTTTGGAAATGCATAGGATAGGTCGGGACGCCAGAAGTCTGCCCAAGATTAATTCATCCCTGCCGCGGTGAACCCAACGTAAATCAATCCTAATTCCGCGCGTCCGGGCGATAACGCGTTCGAACGACACCGATACGATGTATATTTACCCTAGGAATCGATTCACCGATCGATTCCGATCGAAAGCCGCCGATCCTTCCTCGTAGCCCACTTTACCACCACGAAGAGGCCGCGAGGATTACGAATTTCCGCGTGGAATACAAGCCGCTTGTGACAGAGGGCGGACAAAAAATTCGCTCCTCTCTTCTGGGTCTACGGCTGAAGACAGGCGAGCCAGCTTTGCACGGGTCGCCGCGTCTGGCCAAATTAAAATCATTTTAATACGGGAACTGCCTGAAGCCAAGTTTACGTCGGTGTACACACTCGCGGAACCAGCACTTCGCGTTGCTTGCATACATGAACGCCTCGCTGCGGGCTGCTCAACACTTTCAGTTTGCCCGTGTCGACTCAGGTTAGGATTAAGATTTTTTAGACCTATCCAGACTCTACTCGTCTGCATTAGGTATTTCGTGTGCGTAGAATGTTTTGTTGTGTACAGTAAGTTTCGTTTTCTTTGTCAAATATTTTGTATACGAGTTAATCTATGTTTCCGCGACGATTCGGTGATCATTCAATTCTATTAACACATCAGCAACCTCTGACGTGATTTCCTGGTTCAACCAGCTTTGAATTCTTGAGTCGGAGGAGCTGTTCATCTCCACCCATGAAAATTTAAGTACGCGCGATGTTCTCGAGTCCTTGTTACTTATACATTCGTTGGGAATTTAGAAAATTGTGAGAATTGCGATATCGCGATACAATTATCCAGTATAAATATAGTAGAAATACGAATTATCCTGCTGGCAGTCTGCACGATAAACCTTTGTGCCGCGTGCGGATTAGAATTTCTGATATTAAAAGTTGCAGGAACCCTGTTTATTCCGCGTTCCATGGTAGTCGCGACGCCTCAAAGGCAGAATATTTCGCGAGAAAATTGCGCTTTGTAGGTTTGCGAAAGGACGACTTTCCTTTCCATCTTGAGTCCTGGCTCCTTTTTTCCGTTTTATGGTGACGTCGATATTCGCAGGTTAAAGGAAAATAAAGACAGCACTTCCGACAAAGAGTGGCAACGTCCATATAGTGTTCACAATTTTCCAGCGACCGATCGATCGTCGATTCGAGAAATAAAAATCATTTTTGTTAACGGTCCTCGCGCGTACAA